ATTGAGTGGATAGGTAGGTGTATGGATGGATTTATGGATGGATGGGTGTATGGGTGGATTTGTGGGTGGTTGGATGGTTTCTGGATAAATGGTTGAGTGTAGTGGATGTATGGTAGAGCGGGTGGATGAATTTATGGATGGATGTGTGGGTGGATGGATGGATGGATAAATGGATGGTTGGTTGGTTGACTGGCTGGTTGGTTGGGTGGGTGGGTGTATAAATGTATGTGTGTAAAAATGGATGTGTGGGAGGATGGATGGTTAATTGGGTGGCTGTATGGCTGTATGGATGTATGTATGTATGTGTGGGTGGATGGATAGATGGATGGGTGGGTGTATGGATGGATAGATGGATGCATGAGTGGGTGGGTGGGTGTATGGATAGATTTATGGATGGATGGATGTGTGGGTGAATTGATTGATAGATGTGTGGGTGGATGGATAGATGGGTGGGAGGTTGGATAGGTGGATGGATGGGCAAACTTTTAAGGTTAAGTTTTTCATTAGCTTTTAGCTTAATGCTATGAAAGCTAAATAATTAAATTAAAAAAATTCAAAACTTGAACAAAAAAATCTTACAAACAATGTTACTATTCACAGACAGAACAGACTATTGATCCCCAAAATATTTTGTAATGAACCAAGAACAACACAAAGCCATTGAAACATGAAACTAATTAATTCCACTTAGCCTGATTAGACTAAGAGCAATACTGAAAGCACAAACAATCATCCATCCTAATACTTCACCAACCGCAACATAATTCCGCTGAATCATAAGCCACAATCAGAGGAACACGACCCATCCAAAAGAACAACTCTGAAACAAATGTCAACAAGTTCATCCAAGCTTTAACAGAGTTAATCTGGAAGACATTTTCTGGCCACAAACCCAGAACAAGATTCAGCAAATATCTGAGCAGATCGGCTGCTGAGACGACACGCTTCTCCCACATCCAGGGACTCACATGCGGATTTAACATCAATGGAGTCGATAATCGCCAGAAGATGGATGGAGACGGGGGTGAAATGAGAAGGAGAGGCAGAAATTATTTATGAAGCAGGGTTTGTGTGATTTAAGACAGGAACTGTGTCCATGGAGAAATGAAGACATTGTCCTATCACTGTGTGAGGGAGGAGTGATGAAAATGAAGGATGAACTTATTGAAGGGAAAATAAAAGGTCGAGCAGAAGATGTTTTCTGCTACCGAGAGAAAAGAGACAAATACTTCAGCCTGAATCTAAAATAGAGTAATCATGATCACACACACAATCATGCAAGCTGACAGTAGTTCCTTATGATGCTGAACAGAGCTGTGGGATATCACATATTAACTCATGGCTGTCAGGATTGCTTGATTCTAATTGGTCAGTCATAACATTGCACAATATGTTTTTCCCAGATAACAACTAGAAACTAATAATACTGGATCATCTGGGAGCTACAAATCATCCTGACCATTAGTGAATACATTCACATCCATATTCATATTATTGACTGTTTGGCGCCACCTTGTGATTGAATAATGAAGTTAGTGTATGCTCCATTCAGCCATTTTAGTTTGTCAGCTTTGTCTTCAATTCAGGAATTAATATTAAGCCTCAGATCAATGTGCTTTGTGTCTTATTTTAACGTTTTGTTTCAAGTAGCCATGTAATAAGTGGGATAGAGTAGATCCAGGCGGTTGTTTTTGAAGAATATATATATATATATATATTGTCAGGAAACAGAACGGACACAAGTACAGGTCTCTCCTAAAAATTTATTCCTAACAAAAATTAACCAAATGGGCTTAAGCACAGGGACAAAAATTCAAAATCAAATTTTCAACAAAAACTGCTCCGAAGAGGATAGAAATCGTACTGGGATCCTGAAGGGGGTCTCAAGAACATAGAATAAACAAAATAAAACGAAAACAAAATTCAAGATCAATCAGAAGAAAGAGCTCCAAAACAGTCAACAAAAACCACTCCGTAGAGGGGAAAAAAAAGTCTCTCTGGGTGTAGTTTCAAGTTTACTCAGCAGGGGGCGATACGGTGGTAAACTGGATCAGGCGGGCGGCAGAGCTGAGAGGGAGAAGAAGAGTGGGACAGGTGACGGAGGGGAAAACCAATCCCAGAGATTGGAGACAATTGGCCAACCACGGTGGATAAACAAAACAGAAACAGGTCCTGCAGATGACAGAGAGGGGTCAAAACAGCGACAAATAAATGGGATAACTAACCAGAAGACAGACACGAAACAACAGGAACTGACTGGACTGGGCGAAACTGAGAGTATGCTGACTACAAACA